TGGTCGAAACATGCGTGAACATAATCAACGTTTGGAAACTGTTCTTAGACGTTTACAAGACTATAATTTAACTTTGAACAAAGATAAGTGTATGATTGCTACACAGGAAATTGATTTTTTAGGCTTCAGAGTCTCCGGTGATGGTGTTTACCTCTAAAGTCAAATGTGGACTCAATTTTAGAATTGCCAGTACCTAAGGACAATAAACAATTAGCTTCATTTCTAGGTACGACTAACTTTTATTTGAAATTTGTGCCAAATTATGCTGATATAGCTGAACCGTTACGTTGTCTTTTACGTAAAGACAGTCAGTGGCAATGGACTCGTGAACATACTGCTGCGTTTGAATTACTTAAGCAGAAAATCGCTTCACCTCCTACATTAGCCCATTTTTCACCAGATTTGCCTACATTCGTCACAACGGATGCATCCGGTATAGCTGTTGGTGCCGTTATGTCTCAATATTCTCATGGCAGAGAACGTCCCGTTTCTTTCTATTCAAGAACATTATCTTCAGCTGAAAGAAAATATTCCACAGGCGAACGAGAAGCTTTAGCTTGTATTTTAGCATGTGAACATTGGCATGTATATTTGTATGGTAGAAAATTCACTCTACGAACTGACAGATCGCTTACATCAATATGACTTTAAAATCGAATATGTGACGGGTTCGAAAAACTTAGTAGCTGATATGTTAAGTAGATTAGTTATCGATAATCCGAATAGTCAGCAGATTCAGGAAATAGACTCTGCTACCGTCTTAGAAATTGATTTTTCATTAGTTACTCGAAAAGAACTTAAACGTGCTTCAGAAACTGACCATAATCTTTTGCAAGTTCGAAATTTTCTTATAAATGGGTGGCCTAAAATTGTTGCAAATGAGTTACAATCGTTTTATCGTCTACGGGATGAACTGTCAATTTGGGATAATTTTTGTGTCTCTCGAGGTTGTCGTGCTGTGATTCCTGATAGTCTACAAGAAAGAGTTTTAACTATGGCTCACGAAGGACATCCAGGAATAGTT